TAATAATATAATTTTTATAAATATAATAATTAAGTATTTTGTTATAACTAATGATTATATTAATTATATTTTTTATTTTTTATATTCAAAATGAGATGTATATCCAGTATATGATTATGTTTATTTATAGTTAGTTACACAAATTCAAAAATAAAGCTTAATAAATTGTACTTATGCACAATTTACTTGTGATTTTGAATTTTAAGTAATATGCATCAATAAACAGTACTTTATGCATAAAAAATGGTTTTAAGAGTTTTTGTCAAATGTTTTATAATATAGTATAGATATTTTAATTAATTGTGTTATTTAAAAAAGTTAATAATCAAATTAAGGTATGTTTGTTTTTTCAAAATTATCTTTTAATACCTCTTAAATCTGATTCATTTAGATATTTAGGTATTAAGAGCGTTAGTTTTATTTCTAAAATAAGAACTTTAAATGTCCTATGAAATTTTAAGTGGTAAACGTATCCCTTAATACCGCTTAATCATAATCTGCCCTTTATCAATTCGTTTATATTTTAGGGGTTGGAAGAGATTTGTTAGCAAAAACTATTTATCTTATATTTTTGCATTTGATTAACCGATTTATATTTCAGACTTCCGACGTAAAAACAAACAATTTTACTGATCAAGATTTCAGACTTCATGATCACCACTTATAAATCATAAATGAAATCAGACTTCAGCCTTTAGCATCTCTTAAAAAACAAACGTCGCCTAAATATTATTAAAATTATTTATTGAAATTATTTGTGTATAGAAAAAATATAACTTAATTTTTTTTATAAAAATATAACTTTAGTTGTTATTTCAAAAAGATTTTGATTAATTAATTGATATTATTTAGAAAAATAAAAAATTTGAATTTATAAAAATCACTAAATAAACCTAAAAAATCAAGTTTTTATTTAAAAATACATTATAAATATCACATCTATAGGGGGCGTTTGGTTCGCAAATTCTGTAGATACGTGATAGAATTGGAATGTCGAATTTTATTGATCACATTTCATTTCCTTGTTTGGTTCATTTTTTTTTTCATGAAATGAATATTTAAAATTCTACAAATAAAGAAATTTAACATTCCTTAGCAACTACGTTGTATTTTGATGGAATGAAATTCTCTATTTTCATAATACCAAATATGTCATTAACCCAATATACCATAATCTCGTAAAACCCAATATGATCATCGTCGACCACCTTCGATCACTGCCATCTAAACCACTGTCGATTACCACCAATTTAAACCACAGCCGACCACCATCGAGTGCATAAAAAACACATCCATGAGTGCATACAAACTTAATAACTCGAAAAAATAAAAGTTAGAGACCGCTAAAAATCGGTTTTAAGTTGTTTTTTAATGGGTCATAATCTAAAAAAGTTGTTTTTCTTACTGGGTTGATCAGGGCTCGGTCCTTCGTCATAGTCTCAAATCTAGTCACGGGTCTGGCCCGGTTTTAAAAACAATATATAAATTTTAAAATTTTAAAAATACAAATATGTTATTCAAAATTTTATAATTATAAGTATTGAAATTTAGCAATAAAAACTATAGATATTACACCAACATTAAATTTTTGAAAACGTGTATTATAATTTGTAAAAACTTGAAATGTTAATCATAAGGGTGGTGTTTGATTGGTTTGAGTTTGGCTCCAAAGGTCAAAAGTACTAGGAGGTCTCAGGTTCAAATCCAATGACGAATAAAAATCTTCTTGTGGCCACGAAGGTTCAAATGCGGTGACTCCGAGCTATATGCAAAGCAGATGGTCGTCCTGGGATTAGTCGGCTCGCATAACGGGTTGGATATCCAGATTAATATAAAAAAAAACTTGAAATGTCTCAAAAGATCGATCCTAATTTCAGAAAAAAATCGTAACTGGATGGGACTGTCGTGTCATAACCGGTTTCTAGGTCCAACCAGGTGGAAAAATATATGTTTTTATACACGTGTGTTATATATGTTTTTATAACTACGATTTTTAAAATTTTGAACTAAAATATACTTTAAATTATATTTTTACATGAAAAAATCTTGAAAACTAAAATTTAAAAAAAAAAACCAAATAAATTAAATAAAAATATTATTAAAAAATATTGTATTATTGTTCATAAAAGTTCCAAAAAGAAAATTTAAAAACTCAAATTTTATTTATAACTAGAATGGTACTCGCATAATGCAGAGAGATACATCTCGGTTTTAATGTTTCATTTTTTATCTCAGTTGATGTTATAATACGGTTTTATGTGGTTTTGAGAAAACGATAATGTTTTTATTTTTGAATAAAACATAAATATGGAAATATCATAAAAAATTTGAAAAAAATATACTGATATTAGTACCAAATTAACTATTTAAAATTTCTCATTTTTTTTGTGTATTTGTTTGATTCATTTTTTTTTTAATAATACTTAAGTATTTTATTAAAACTCAATGATTATCCTAATTATATTTTGGATATTTTATAATTAAAATAAGATGTTTTTCCTCTAGGATATGTTTATCTGCAATTAGTTACACGAATTCAAACATGAAGCTTTAATAAGTTGTACTTACGCATAATTTATTTGTAATCTTGAATTTTAAGTAATATGCATAAACAAACAGTACTTCATGCATAAAAAATGATTTTTAAAAGTTTTTGTCAAATGCTTTATAATATAGTATAGACTAATGATTGAAAAGGCTAATTACAACAGTCGTTATAGCATGCTATGGCTCAAGCCTTTTGTCTCACCCCACGTTAAGTCTGAGGCATGACATAATATAATGTACGGTTTTTATAACATGACATTTGTTTTTAGATATATTTTTAATGTCTTATTTTTTAATTTTTAATATATAACTTAATTTAAATTGTTTATTATTACTGATTTACTGAATAATAGTATAAAATACATGTTTATGTATATAGGCAAAGGATCATGTGAGAAATGAAGTTATCGTGAGAAACATAAGAAGAGATTTGAACCCTAATCACTTTTAATCTCATGTCTACCCAAGAATTATATTTTGTAAGGGAACTGATTCGGTGCAATGTTGACATTCAATTATGATTGATTCAATGGTGGAGATTTCTTATTACGCTTTTCACCGGAACCCAACTCTATGCATATAATATTATATATGATATAAAAATATGTCGTCATAAGTCACATTTTGAAGAACGTGGTTTGAGACTTGGTTTCATATATGTGAGGTCATGTGTTCAAGTCTTTAATTGCAATTTCTTTTTAGAAACATAATAAAATCGAAATTAAAAGCTAAAACTTAAAAAATGACACTAACAATATTTGAACTTAGATCTACAGGGGACATAAAACGCTTTGCAAACCAACTCAACTAAATGAAGCTTATGCTCTTATTGTAGTTTCATAATATATATATAGTGACACACAACAAATTGATACGTTGGCACTTTATCAATGACCCTATAATTTTTTTCACTACGACGAAGGAACAAAACAGTGCCCTGTGTAACCGTATCAATACACTTGGTTCAACCCCTGTTTGTCCTCATCGCTACGTCATGCCTCATGCTATTTTGAAACCTTGTTTATAACCGTGAACGTGAACCTGAACCTGAACCTGAACCATGCCTTATAATTCGAGAAATTAATTAAAATAGTCATTTTCAAGCTTTATATTCATATCTTAGCCATTTCTCTCATAACATTTCAAAAATGTCATTATTTCATTATTTCTCTCATAATATTTAAAAAATGTCATTGCCTCCGCAAGTGACAACTTCTCAACTTGTAGATGAGTCAAAGTATAAAAAATAGAAGTTTCTGCACATAGTTTGCAAGTATAGGGACCAAATTTTGTAAATTAGTCTCGGCACTTCTGCAAGTAGTGGAAGGGCAAATTGCATGAAAAAGTAGTGTGCTCTGACTTGATCCTTATTTCAGGTAACGTACTTTCAAAACTTTCATTTTGGTACTTAAGATGCAAAGTTTTAAAAATTTAAGTACCCGAGTAATCGATTGAAGCATTAACCGGTTATCATGTGATATCCAACTCAATATTATTTGCTGACGTGGTTAGTAACGATAATAATTTTTTTTAATCTAAAATTAGTATTTAACCGGTTAGTCGAGTATCCAAATGTTTAAAATTTTACATCTTAAATAGCAAAATAAAAGTTTTAAAAGTACGTTATCTAAAAATCAAATTAATTATTCATAGTTCTTTTTACATTTAGATCCCTTTTTAATTGAGGTGGTGATGCTTTTGAAATTTGAGTAGACAAATGATTAAAACAGAGAATCCAAAATCCGCGAAAAGACTATTTCTATTCGTTTCAGGTGAATCAGCGTTTTCCCCTCGGTTCTTTTTCATTGAATCAGTGCTGATGGCTTCGTCTACAGTTCGTCGCTCCCCCTTCTCGTCCTTCGTCTCTGAATTGATACACCACTGAAATACTTTGCATCTTATTTTGTAAGTATCTTCGTTATTCTGCCAATTTGAACCACCTAGGGTTCTTGTTCTTTACTTTATAGCTCTGTAATTACTGTAATTTTGCGAATATTGCTGATGCCTGATGCTTCTGTTCATACTTTTAGAAGCTCACAAGCTTTTGTATTTATCATATGTGAGATTAAGGTGCTGTTTGGTTGGTTGTTTTCCATTAAGTGATAGAACTGACTCCGTAGATTAATCGGTCTGTATAGATTTGGTGAGTTTTTGTTTGGTAGGGTTTTTTCATGGATCGAAGTAACTTGTTTTTCAATTGGTAGGGACATGTTTAGTTAAAATCTTGACTTCCTGTAGAAACTTACTTAATAAGCCATTTTCTATATCATTAAGTCACTACCAAACTAACTGAATAAGTCATGAGTCCCATTAAGCTTATCAAGCTTTTTGGATTGGATGACTTTCGAATGATAGAATATTAGTTCATGCATCTTGTACTATATGTTAATGATTTTAGAAATCATCCGATTATTTTATGTAATTGAATTCACAAGATAATATAGGTAGCTAGTTAAGCTATAACACGGGGTAGAGGTGTGGAGTGTGCCCTTACGTAAGCTAACTAGAATTCTGGATTGCTGGATGACACCAGATGGCGGTGCGGCCCCTGGCGTAGGTCCCAGCAGTGGTCATAAGCTGATGGTTCGTTAGCTTATTATCGAGCTCGGTGCTCGTTTATAGGCTCGAACTTGCGATCGATCAACTCGTTTATTGGCTCAAACTCGATTGGTTTTATATTTTTATAGTATGATTTATGAACATTTGAGCATGTTTAGCTCAAAACAGTGTATGCTCGAATTGCTCAGCTTGACTTGGAAAATTTAACCTGAGTTCTCAAACGAGCCGAGTTGAACATTGGTGTTATGAAGCTCGGCTCGTTTGTGTTCGAGATCGACTTGAGCTCAAGAATAATTAAGCTCAAGCTCGAGTAGCTCATGAAAAGCTCGAATCATTTACACCCCTAACTAAAACCTCACGGATTTGTTCATTTTGCAGCTACAAAAGGTAAATAATGAAGCCTCTGCTAAGGTTACTGATTGAAACTGTGTAGCAATAAGAACAAAAGAGATGAAGCAATATCCAGAATGAAGAACCATCAAACTGTAAATTTCCCAGGTTTACCAGTGGTAACTTTCTGTTTTTACAGTTTATAATGCCTTCCAAGACGAAGGATCGTGTGAGAATAAGAGTTAAAGGTGAAAAGTGTAAGAAGGGATTTAGACCCTTGGATCACTTTTGATCTCAAGCGATTTAGAAGGGAATTGATTCAGTATGTCTCATTAGTGTTGATCTAGTGTTTCTCTTCGATTAGGATTGATCCAATGGTGGAGATCTCTTCTCACCCTTCTCACCATAACTTTCATTATCACCGGAACCCAACCCTTACAATGCCTTCCAAAATAGATTGAAATCTTGATTTCTGTTTCTACTCCATGAGAACAACTTCAAATCCATTCACTAAACACCCAATTCTCCAAATCTTGATAACAAAATGCAAAACCCTTGACACATTTCAACAAACCCATGCCCAAATCATCACAACTGGTCTTATCCTTCACACTTACCCTCTCACCCAACTAATATCAACCATCTTATCTTCCACCCTAACCACTTCCTTATCCTACACCCTAACCATCTTCAACCAAGCTCCGAACCGCACCACCTTCCTTTTCAACACCTTGATCTCATCAATCCTAACCCATCATAACCACCATAGCCAACACACCCACTTGGCTTTCTCTCTCTACACTCAAATTCTCAAAATAAAAACCATCAAACCCAATTCTTACACATACCCGTTACTTTTTAAGGCTTGTGGGTCGAACCCGGCTTGGCTCGACTCTGGTCGAGCCCTACACGCACATGTCTTGAAGTTTCTTGAACCCGGTGAGATTGATCAGTTTGTTCAAGCTTCATTGATTAGTTTTTACTCAAAATGTGGGAAGTTTGGTGTTTGTAGGTATCTTTTTGATCAAATTAGTCAACCTGATTTGGGTTTGTGGAATTCGATATTATCTGCGTATAATTATAGTGTTGATGATAGTGATTTGTCGATGGAGGTTTTGTGTTTGTTTAGTGATTTGCAGAAAGGTTCGAAAATTAAGCCAAATGAGGTTAGTTTTGTGGCGTTGATCAATGCTTGTGCTAACTTGAGTGCTTTTAGTCAAGGAATTTGGGCGCATTCTTATGTCGTAAAGCGTAATTTGAAGCTTAATCAGTTCGTTGTGACGTCCTTGATTGATCTTTATGTGAATTGCGGGTTCCTGGAGTTTGCACGCCAAGTGTTTGATGAATTACCAAAGAAAGATGTTTTTTGTTATAATGCGATGATTAGAGGATTCGCTACTCATGGGTATGGACTTGAATCACTTGATCTCTTTAAGAAAATGGTGTCAGAGGGGTTCGGTCCAGATGACGTGACCATGGTGGCGATGATCTCGGCTTGCTCACATGTTGGGCTCGTGGATGAAGGTTGCGAGTTTTTTAATTCGATGAGGGAGAAATATGGGCTCAAACCAAAGGTTGATCATTATGGGTGCTTGGTCGACCTTTTGGGTCGAGCCGGTCGGCTCCACAAGGCGATGGAAATAATTCGGACCATGCCCATGAAGCCGAACGCGGTTTTATGGCGATCGTTGCTTGGCGCAACAAGAAACCACGGAAATTTAGAGATTGGCGAAATTGCACTTGACCGTTTGATCGAATTAGAACCCGAAACCAGCGGAAATTACGTGCTTTTATCAAACATATATGCACGTATGAATAAATGGGAAGGTGTCAAACGCGTAAGAACGCTGATGAAAGATAATGGCATCAATAAAATGCCAGGAACAAGTGTTCTTGAGATCGGTGGTGCGTTCCATCAGTTTCTTACAGCTGATAAAACGCACCCACGATCTCAAGAAATTTATCAGAAGATTGATGAGATGAATAGAAAGTTACATGAGTACGGGCACAATGCCCGGACCATGGACGTGTTGTTCGATTTAGAAGACGAAGATCGAGAAGATGCATTATCGTATCATAGTGAGCGACTTGCAATTGCTTTCGCACTTATAGCATCCGATCCTAATTCGCCTATTCGGATCATAAAGAACCTCCGGGTGTGCGTTGATTGTCATGATAGTACCAAACTCGTTTCGATGATATATAAACGAGAGATTATTGTTAAAGATCGAATTCGATTTCATCGGTTTCAAGATGGGAGTTGCTCTTGTTTAGATTATTGGTAGGAATTTAGAAACTTATATTGTTTTAAAGAAGGCATCATTTGCATTCAAGATTGGTTGAATTTAGATTTAGATCATAATTCCTTAATAATAATTTAATTTGTTGTTATTATATAACCAATGGGCTCCTATAGATAAGCGTTTATCTGGGTAAGAGTCGTAATCTTTACTTACCGGGTAAGACTCTTCATCATTCTCATCGCTCTTACCCGGTAAGATTCTTGGCCTTTATCATGTTCATCCGATAAAGATATTTATTTGGTAAGCAGTTACCAAGTAAGCGTTTAGTTAACGGCCCCTTATTTCCTAATTAGTATAGTAATAAATTGTATTCTCGATTAGTGCGACAAACGTTCAACTTTGCAACTACTTAGGGGCCGTTTACCAAATGTTTACTTGGACAAGTGTTTATCAAGTCACATTACCTCACTGAATCAATATGACAATGACCAATAATTTTTCTCGGTAAGAGCGAAGGCAAAGACCGATAGTCTTACCCGGCAAGTGATGACGACAACTCTTACTACGGTTAGCATCAGGGGCGGGTAGTGGTTTAAAGGAGGGGGGAAGGGACTCCAGTCAAAAACTCAAAAACAAAAATTATAGGTTAAAATTTAGGTTTTAGATGATTTACCTTTCACTTCCCCCCATTACATTTTTCCGTGGGCCCCCAACCCCAATCAAAACCGTTACTCTAACAAAAAAAATCTGTTGAAATCAATCAAAAAAACCAAAAAAGAAATCGACAAAAAAACTAAAAAATCATTCGAAATCAACCAAAAAACTTTAAAATTCCCTCGAAAACGTTGTAATTAGGTTAAAAACACATCGGACGATTTTGCGGGTTTTTAGTCTACCTTAAAGGTGACCCCACTGAACAAAAATCCTGGATCCGCCATTTGTTAGCACTTATTGGGTAAGTTGTTAAATTATGATGTCATTTTGGTAGACTAAAATCTTTCCAGGTAAGTAAGCAATAGCATTGATTTTTACCATTAAACACTTATCGGTTAAGTGTTTAGGTAAACAACTCCTTAGACGTGCTTGTTTGGCATGTGATTTCGGCCTATCCTTAGATGTTCAATTTGACCATTTGGAACTAAAGGGGTGGTTTACATACACAAATTTAACCGGATAAGAATATGGTATGGGTAAAACATTGGCCGAGTAAGAGCATCTGTAACAAACTCTTCAAAATAGAGATTTTGAGAATTTTTGCTCCAATAGATTCTCCAAAATAGAGAATGTAGGAAATATATGGTGAAATCTTCAAATTTGGAGAACTCTCTAAAAAAGATTACCTAAAAAAAAAGAAACTATTTTTTTATTTTTCCTGCCATTGAAAATCCTTAAAATTAACTGTATAGGAGATATAATTAATATTTTAATAATATAATTATTGTTAGACCACAAAATGATCAATCTTCAATCTCAACTAAGATTCAATGGCAATCTTCATGATGAACAATAAGAACACAATGAAGAACTTGAGATGAAAAGTCAATCTGGTCAACACTTCTATATATCTCTCAAATGAACGTAATGTTTACAATAAGCTCTTTCTACTAATTCACTACAAGACAAACTTTTATATAGGGTCAAACATTGAACCCTTCTAGTCAAAGTCAACATGACTCTAACAAAGTCAAACACGCTAACTTTACAATTATAAACAACTATAAACTTTCAAGACGAATACAATTTAACACTAAAATTCAGTTCTAACATTTAACCGCGTGCAAATTCATAAAAAAAATGTATATATATAAGGGGGGGGGGGGTTGGAAGATTGATAAATAGCCTAAATATGCAAAATAAATTGAGAACTTTAAACAATAATAAGAACAAGACTAGCAATGAGCATCAATCAATCCTTTGGATTATATATCATGATCGTATAATCTTATTATGCATTCATATAGTAATCTCGAAAATGTATTTTTTTTTCTTTTTGAAGATTTTGATTCTGTTGGAGATGCTCTAAAAGAGCCTTTCCTTCCTTACCAAGTCAACATCTCGATGTCATTTATCAGTCAAAGTGTATGGTTAAACAACCTCACTTACTAAATAAGCATCCCTAATCCAGTAAGGGACAGTCAACGATTAGTAAGCACCTCTTTACTTGGGTTAGTCAGCATTCTGGGATTGCATCAGTATGGGTGGTTCTTTGTAGGAGTCCTCGTCTAAACTGTCAAATCGTATAAACTGCCCACATCGTAAAATGAGGTTTAGAACTTCTGCGATGCAGGTTTGCATTTTTATCAAACCGTACTATGAAGTTCGGTTTGCGGTTTTGAGTTAGCAAACTGCGGTTCAAACCGCATCGTGCTGCACATTGTATATATAATTTACATATATATATATATATATGGAATAATTGGCTAATTTATGTAATATTTATAGTTTGAAATTAATTTTTTACTTCTTAGGCTATTGTTTATCTATACTATATAAAACATTTGACAAAAACTCTTAAAAAATCATCTTTTATACATGAAGTACTGCTTATTGATGTATATTACTTAAAATTCAAGATTACAAGTAAATTGTGCATAAGTACAACTTATTAAGCTCCATATTTGAATTCGTGTAACTAAATTTAGATAAATATAATCAAATACATGATAAAATTTCCATTTTAAATATATCTAAAATATAATTAAAATAATTATTGAGTTCTAACAGAATGCTTATTATTATCTTTATAAAAATTATATTTGTTAAATCAAAAACAAATTACTTCATCATTAAACCTAAATTAAATTATAATAAAAAAATTGAATTAAAGAAATTACACAAAAAAAATGAAAACTTTTATATATTTTTAAATTTTTTATGATATCTTCAAATCTATATTTAAAAAAAAAGAAATATTATTGTTTGCTCAAACCCACAAAAATCCATATTATAATATCGACAGAGACAAAAAAAAAAACATTAAAATTGAGATATATCTTACTGTATTGCGCGGGTACCCTTCTAGTTATGTAATATGTATTTAAAAATCAAATGTATTTAAACTTTTTATCTATTTGGGCTATATTTTCTTCAGTTTTATAATAAAGTTTTAATTTTATAATTATTAGATTGTCGGCTATGTAAAGTCATTAGGTACATACTGTATAAACTGTACCGTACCACATTTCGTGATGTGTTTTTTCTTTTTCTTTTTCTTTTTCTTTTTTGCAGTTTGAGATATATATGGTACGATTTGCGGTTTTGGAAAATTCTTAAACTGTATATGTGATGCGGTTTGGCACACCCAAACACCCATTGTTCATTGCATGAAACCCCATTTCACTTCAGTTATATGTGCCATTTGATATAGTAATCAAGTATACAATTTATGAAGTGGATGTTGAATGAAAGACAAATCATCAAAAGGTGGGAATGGAACAGCTCATTGAGATGTAAAAACTACATTTTCACTGAAGCAGGGGTAGTATTGTCAAAACTACATTTTCAGGAATCAACTAACTATGCAAAACTGAGATACCAAAATGGAAGAACAGATGTCCATGAAATCAAGGAATTCTAAATCTTATATGTTTCTGTACAATCTGTACATTTTATTCTTGTTGGTTTTATGGCCATGGTTTATATTGCCAGCGTTCCTTCACTGATTTGGTTATCATCGGAAGAATCCGAAGCAGTAGAAGAGGAAGAGGAAGAGGAAGATGATGATGATGAAGACGATGACGACGATGAAGATTTAGGTTTCGACATGATCCGTTGGAACCCGTAACCAAGAGAACTTCCGTTTGTTTCCGAAAGCTGCATAATCCATCATCAAACCAATATGCTCAATGTTTATTCAAATTATTGCCATCAATAACCTAGCTTATTGAAACCCCCCCTGTTTGATTAGCCACTCAAGTATCGTGTCTAGTAGACTACAGGGGCCTTTTTTCCATTTTTTTCTTCCGGTTGTGCCCCTTGAAATTTTTCCAATTAATGGGGGTGTTTGGTTAGAGGTTTTAGGTAGTAATCAATCAGAATGAAAATAAAAGAAATTGTTCGGTTTTATATAATATAATGGGTCATTCCCCCACAAGCCCAAGTTTTAATTTCCGGTTAAACTGGGGAGAATGGAAATTCATTCCCATTTTCATTCCTTGTCATTTCCATTTTCATTCCTCTGACTAAACCAAACACCCCCTAATTTTTCGAAATGTCTTTTAAGAACATTTTACATTGTCATCTGACTTATATCTAGTTTTTACCAAACATGATTGTTTTGTTAGCTATAAGCTATCTTATAAGCTTGTTTGCAAATATAGTTGGAACATCTCCAACATATTCTCTAAAATAGAGAAAATAGAGATTTTGTTCTTTATTTTTTTTGCTCCAATAGATTCTCTATAATATTTACTAAAATAGAGAAAACAAGAGAAAACTATGAGTTTTTTTATATATAAGAAAAAATTAAAGTGTATTGAGATGATAAAATTATATAAAATTTTAATAATAAAACGAACCTTGAAATCTCCAAAATAGAGAATCTGTTAGAGTCGATAGTACATTTTTCTAGAGATTTTATCTTTTCGTTCTCTATTTTAAAGAAATTATAGAGAATCTGTTGGAGATGCTCCTATGTGGTTCAAGCTTAAGATGTAACACAGTAAGATTGGATACCTCGGTAAGCTCAGATAGGTGTCGGGATCTGAACTCGTTGATCGTGGCTGCTATCTCCGACATCGGCAATTTAGCCTAAGAAACAAAACAAGGTTAAAAAAAATTCAAGAATCAGCAGTAGAAAAAGACCGTCAAAACTATTAATCCTACTTTTTTAGCATTTACGTGGTTGTCCGTAAATTATGTGACTTTGTTTAATAATAACGTACGGAAAAAACCAACGAATTATTAAGAAACCACGATCTGGATGTGTTAAATGCAAACGATGCCAACCGATTACTTACTTGTGCAAGGACAGCAGATGCTAACTGTAAACTTGGTTCTAAGGTCTCGGGCACGACCTGAGATATTTTTTACGTTCAAAGTCAAAGACATCATGTAAGTTTATACATATGAATATAGACCAAAAAACCGACAAATATGCAAGTGAGTAGCAGAGAAGTATGTACAAACAAGCAACACGTACAGTGAATAGAAAAAAGGAAGGATCTAAGGCGGATCCACAAACAATTTTTTTTTATTAACCTGGATATCCAACCCGCTATGCGAGCCGACTAATCCCAGGACGACCACTTGCTTTGCAGATAGCTCGGAGTCACCGCATTTGAACCTCTGTGGTCACAAGGGGATTTTTATTCCTCCTTGGATTTGAACATGTGATCTCCTGGTACTTTTGACCTTTGGAGTCAAGCTCAAACCATCCACAAACATTTTGGAGTGGTATCACAAATATACCCTCGAGTTTTTATTTCATAAATTGTCATTACAAACACATGAAGTTTTAATATTCATGGTTTCACCCAGAAAAACTTATGATTTCCCGTTTAAGGACCTAAAGAAAATTAAGCTTAACCTCCTAAACTTTGTGGTTTCACTAACAACCATACTCCTAACCCTAAGCGGCGTTTGGTTTGATGGAATGATTTTGAGGGATTTGGAATTGGAGGATTTGTTGGAAAGGAATTGAATTCCATTTTGTATAAATAATTTGTTAGAAAAATTATAATTAATTATAAAAATAATTAAATTACTTTTTTATTAATTGATTATTACAAAAAAATGTTTTTAACATATTTTAAAACATTATTACATACAAATCCTATGAAATCTAGTGAAATACCAACCACCTCCGTGGGATTTCAAAATCCTATATTCATGGGATTTCAATAAAATCCTGGGATTTCAAATCCAAGAAATCTTTCAAACCAAACATGGGATTGGAATGAAATTCAAGTCCAAATCCCTCTAAATTTCCAATCCAATCCAATCCAATCCTACAAGTCAAACAGGACCTAAGGGTAGATCCGCCCCTAGCAAGGACATGAGGTCCCCGACATAGTATGCTACAGAATAAAAACTTGTCGTTCCCAAATCTCATGTTCCCTCCCGGTCCCACCAGATCATCATAATTTTGATTTAATTAATCAGTCTGCACCAAACCATTTCTACAACTACCAAACAGCAAGTGGTCCGAATGATTAAGAGATTCTCATGATATAGTGCAAAATGAAATATAATTGTTTGGTAATTGTTTACAATTAAATTAAGGCGCTGAATGGTTAAGGGAGACCATGATGCAAAGTCATTCAGACGATGTTAGAACCATTAAGAGACAAACTTTTTTTTGCCAAATAAGATTTACCTCTTAACGATTTTAGAGACTGCCTTCTTAATGGAATTATTAAGAGGTAAACAAACCACCCAAGACCGGATTCAGAGAGAACAGATTTTATTCTCTGCTATCCAAGTCCTCCGTCTCTGATCGCTCCTATCACTCTATCAGAGATGGTTCCCTCCCCCTAATTTCGAACTCCCTTTTTATTCAACACTCTTTAATAAAGGGTAAAGGAGAAAATACCGCTGTTGCCCCGGCCTTCTCCAAGTTGAGTCCATGATCGACATCATGAGCTCGTACAAATGTCTTGACGTTGGGAAAATACTTGCTGAGAGCCCAAACTGTTCTATAATTTGCACCAGGTGTATCTAAAGTTATTGCTGCAGCACAGGCTCTTTCGGCGCCAACTTTATGCAAAACCTGAAAGTTGGGGTGTACGGAGAATTGGCTCAGAATGTGAGTTAGCAGATTGCATATTTTACATACGATCTCCAAAAAGTTTCACCTCTCGACTACCAGCATCTCCGAAATACACAGGAAGGTCTAGTGCACGCCCCACTGATACTCGATCACTTACATTATCAGAAACTTTGTCAGTAGGCTTGTTATATACTTGATTCATGCAAAAACCAAAAAGTAATCGAAAACTACCAACCATTCTTTGTGCATATTGCAAATTGCAAAAAAGAGTTTGGTTTACTTTCTATTTAGTGTAACCAATAATTTTTTTCTCAATCAATGTAACAAAGTTCAAAAGATTTCCTATTTTGTAACATCTGATGACGTGGATACCTGTTTACAGAAGAGTTAAGACGAACTAGACGACAAACTTGGTATCTATGGCATCCAATGTTACAAAATCTATAAATTACCTGTCAAAATTGGTACAAAATAGGAAATGTTGAAATTTTGTTACATTAAATAGGAAATATCGAAACTTTGTTTAATTAAACAGGAAAATTTGAGATGTTACATTAAACAGGAAAGTTTGAAACTTCGTTATATGAAAAAGAATTTGGTTACACAAGATAGGAACTAAGGCAAACTTCGTTGCATTTTGTCCATTTTGAATACACATGAAAACCATCTTTGCTTGTCTATATCCAATTGTTTATTTGTTAAAGCTTCCCATTAAGTCCCCAAAAATGAAAAAGAAGGCAAGACTTGACTGTTAGAGTTCCAGGAGACTGACTCCTGTATGGATTAAGCTGTCAACATGAACAGTCTGAATGACAGAATTGACTATTTGGCAGCAGGGTATATGGTGTGTTGACTCATTTTATATCAGATACATATATTCAGTTATCCTCGACAAATTCTAGTCTAGTGTCTGGGGTAGGTTGATAATATATTTAATAAGGGATTGTATATGACACAAGAAGACACGTTTCGATGATATTACATGCATAAAGGATGACATTTTCCACCGAGTTTCCTCAAACCATATGAGGCTTGGGGAGGGAATTCTTTGTATGTAGCTTTGCCTTTGCATTTAAGAGATTATTTTGTGATTCACGTAAACAACTACTCTACTCTTTGAGGTAGAGGTTAGGTCTACGTACATCTTCTCCCCGACCCCACCTCCGGGTGGGATATACCGAGCTCGTTTGATTTGGCTTAATGTTTTGTGATTCAAACCCATAATGTTCAGGTGAAAGGACCAACCTACCGGTTGCTTTATGGCTCGAACCTCAAGAGTTAATGAGAAATAAAATAAAATGAAAGTGATATGTGTATGCATATGTGTATGAGTGGGAGAGAAAAATAACTTCATACCTCCTTACATCAAGAGCAACAAATGGAATTAGTCTTTCAGAAAGAAGCTGGGCGATGATCTGAAAGAAGAACAAAAGTTGGAAATAGAAGTTAAAAAATGCTACTTCATATACCATAAAATAAAGATTAAAATCCCGATCATTTTTTATAGAATTTAATAACAAACGTAATTGACGATGGTGCTGCACCTGGCCAACACGTCCAAACCCACAAATAATGATGTGATCCTGCAAATCATCTGTCTGGAAGAAGTTCAATGAAATATAAGAATCAGGCCTCAAGTAGATGATATGACCCATATTAAGTATCAGGTGGTGAAAGGACAAAAACAAATATTCCCTTGGTCCCAGAATAAGTTTCTATTTTAGTTTGTTCCAAAATATGCGTCCACTGTCAAAAGCAAGTGCCCACTTTCTAATTCTACCCTTAATTATGATGGCAAAATTCAGTACCCTCTCTATTATTAAGAGTAAAATTGTCATTTAGTTGATTAAAAAGTGTAACAATTACACGTTTCTAAAACTCGTGCCTTTTTCACCGAGAGGGAGTACAACGGTACTGTTACCTTTTCAGGTTAAGATGCAGCTTTACTTGAATAAATTCCAAGTTTGAAAAACAAAGAAGAATGATTGACAGTAATTTCTACCAAATTTAAGCAAAAAATCTAGTATCTACGCATCATGGGTGTGTTCCTACATGAAATGGGGTGTATGATTCTCCCCATCAAAAGCACGTAACCATTGGATAATTACATCTCATACATAATATCTACTTAGGATAGCTTCAAAGCATTCTCCTCCTTTCCATAAAAATTGCAACAGTTGTTAGCTTTTGGAGTCCCATACTGATTGCAATCTTTACTCTTTTACCCACTGCCATCATCAGAAACACTATATTCGCTTATTTTATCTTACTATTTGGGGAAAAGGTTGATTACCAGCAACACCAACCGGCCCCACACGGAACCCGCCCCCTGGGCAGTGGGCACCACATGCGAGGAGGCATTTCGTGAGCTGACTCAGCAGAGCGATCCAAGCCCGCATCCCGTGGGATTCAAACTTGAATTTGTTATGTATTTGGAAAAAGTCATCTCGCCCTTTTGTCAACTGAGCTACACGCCCAAGGCTATTTTATCATACTCTTAATAGGCTGACATTTCACTGATAATCAAATGCATTGAACCACATGCATAGTGAACAACAGCAGAATAGTCGTGTAAGGAATTTTACCTCTCTCTCGTCAGGCAATAAGCTACGGACATCATGCTGCTCAAAACGAGATGCTATTAACTGGCCTCCAGCAGCTAACCATGGTGTGAGGGCCATCGAAATCCCAACCACAAGAAACAGCAAAGAAGATAACTGAGGAGTCATTATACCCTGAAAAGGACACAAATCTGAAGTGTCATCCTAAATTGGAAGTCTTTGGCCTTTGGCCTTGTGGTATGCAAGTCTTTGGCTTCCTAGGAGGTCAGGGGTTCAAAGGTGAGGAGGGTGTGTGAGTTTATTTGTTCTATTTGCCATATATAAATATTATATACTTCAAAAAACAGTGAACCAATTAGTTGAAGCTCACCTGATTGACAGCTTCACCAAATGCAACAAAAGCGAATTCTCCACCGGGTGCAAGTAAAAGACCAACTCTAATTGCAGATATTATCGAGACACCAAAAAGCTTACCAACAACAGCTACCAACATGGTCTTCCCAACAATTAGAAGTCCTAACGACCCCATAATAATAGGGAAGTTTGAGACAAGAAGTTTTGGATCGATCGACATTCCAACCTGAGAAACAGAATGTTGCTGTTACTTGCAAAGCTCATACATCTATGAAGTGTGTGAAGTCACTGAAGAGAGGGAAAAGTACACTAAAATTTTGGAAACAGACTATTAGACACAAAGATTTCTTTACCTACCAAATCTCCTCTTAAATAGCAAAATAGTAGTCAACCGAAATACACAATAAGACACTGCAAATGTTGCTTTGCTTTCAGAATATAATTCTCTGGTTCTCTTGGGTTCGTTTGGTTTGCAGGATTGTTTTTGAGGGATTCGAATTTCATGGAGGGATTTGGGTTGGAATGCATTTAAAATCATTGTTGTGTTTGGTTTGTAGGATTTGGAATGGAATTGGATTCCGTTATTAAATTAGATTTTTTAATCGATTATTATAAAATAAAATGTTTTTAACATTTTTTAAAACCTTATTTCATACAATCTTACGAAATCCCATAAAATCCCGATCACCCCCTAAGGATTTCAAAATCCTATGTTTGTAGGATTTCTAATGCAACAAACCAAACATGGGATTGAAATGAATTTGAAATCCAAATCCATTCATTTCCTGCAAACCAAACGGGACCTTAGGTGTGTTTGGTATGCAGACGGACTCGACTGGGCAGACGAGAGTGAGGTAGGCGCCTTGGCGGGTGAAAGAAATATGGAAAGGTTTTAGGATTTTAAAATTTGACATGGTAGTTCAGTAATTTACCAATCTTGTCTCATCTCACAGATGTTTGTTCCACCTATTTCGGTGGGACAAAAAATGCATTTTTGTCCCACTCAGTCCCGTCCTATCGCAGTCTATGTCGAGCCAATGTGGAATGAAAAGTTTTTTGTTCTGTTTTGTCCCGTCCTGTCCCACATAAGCAACTTCCTATAATGGCATTTAGTGTTGACATACTATCCTAACATCAAGGACTCTTGAAGTAGACTCCTATATGTTAGGGCAATCAAGATTATGAAGCATACCGTCATGAAGAAGAGACCTAATAGAAGGCCACGATATGGAGCAATATCGGATTCAACTTGCAAAGAGAATTCGGTTTCTGCAAGTAGCAAACCAGCCAGAAAAGCTCCCAGTGCCATTGAAAGACCAGCCTGTTTCATTTATCATTAGAGAAAGGGACTACAGTGATTACAAATGCAATGACCAAAAAAAACAAGTCCACTTACACGGGCAGTAAGTAGACTAGTACCCAGAATAACCAGAAGCGTATTTGCAGAAAATATTTCTGCATTTTGCATCTCCGCAATTTGCTTGTAAATTGGGCGAAGCAGCTGCAAACAGGATGAGAGTGAAAGAGCTAAATAATCGAAATGAAATACATCAAAATCTATACTTATATACTTTAGAAGTGTACCCGCGCAGTTCAGCGCTATACATCTCGATTTCTGAAGCCACGAACGTGAACACTCAATCATGATTCATACTTCGTTCTGTTCTCTGTCCCTTTCGGTTATATTTTATCGTTTTGTGGTTTTGAGAGAGCCAGAGATTATTTGGTTGGTTATCAGTTTTATGGAGTAATTTCGCCGTATTAGTAAGACTCAACACTTATCTTATATTTGAACACGTTTATTGGTTAGTTTTATGGAGTTCAAACATGGAGCTATAAAAGTTGTAAGTATGCAGTAGTAAGTAAGTTGTAACCTTGAATTCTAAGATATTTAAGAACATGAGGTAAATATGGTAAATATATTAGTATGAATATTATACTCTTGATCGAAATTCGAAAAACAGGTTTAAAAATAGAAAAAAAATATTGACATGGATATCAAAATAAAGAGAATAAAATACTCATTTTTATATAAATTATTAAATTAAAAAACTATAATATTTACATTAATTTAGATTAAAAGAAATGAGGTAACTCAATGGAGTTTATCAGTTATTTTTATGGAGTTTTAAGAAGTTGTGATTCGACTATAGTGACTTGTAACCTTCAATCTTAAGATATTTGCATTGATAAACTGTACCTAATGCTTAATAAGTTGTTCTCAAGACTTTTTGCCAAATGTTTTATAATATAGTAAACATTACGCTGTGTAACAGTAGCATCCTCCTAGTGAGTTGAGCATAAAATAGGTATGATTTAAGCATGTATTCATATAATTTAACTACTCCAGGGACCAAGAAAGAATATTTTGGGGAAATGACCCAAGGGGAATGACGGCATCTAAAAATTGTTCGGTCACAAGATTAATAATTAGCTCCTAACAGGGTTACAATATTTTCTTAAAGTCAGATTGGTTTCTCACCCTGGGGGCTTTTGGGTTATTTAGTTTAGTGTAGTTTTCTGAAAAGAGTATATAGGGACACTATAGAAGTGTCAGAAGCTCAAAATAGTTTTGTGCACTCAAGAACTTGGTTACAAATTTCAGAAATGTCAAGAACTTACCAACCGTCCTCCAGCAATAATAGCACTGATGGCAACAAGTGCCTTCACTGCAGCCAATCCAAGAGCTTCAGCAATTGCATAGAAGCCAATCTGAGAATGGTAAAAAGATGACGCATTGATGAAGGGAGTCACAACTTGGGGATCAAGTTACAATTATCAGATCAAGGAACATGAGAAATTACAACTATGAGATCAAGTTGCCAACTCACTTCAACTTTGAGAATAACTATAGTTCAGGGACAAGAACATATTGTAGACAATATAGCAGTGATAGTGTCAAAGAAAGCAACATAGGAAGACAAAAAGTATACAGATCTTTCATTGGATGAATGATATGTATTGATGAACATACTTACCCCTCCTTTGGATGAATTCGGTGAAATAAGAGGTATGAGAATCAACAAAACGACAACAGCTAGATCCTGGTAGAAAACAAGACAGCAGTCAATTTTTAAAGAAAAAGCAGCAAGATACAATAAAAAATTTGAAGTGCACGATTGCTTCAGTTAAGAAGTGGAATTACAAAATAAACCAAACAAACACATCAAGTCCCGCCCGGAGGTGGGTGGTGGGTGGATGTACGCAGACCTGACCTCTACTTCGAAGAGTAAAGCGGCTGTTTCCGTGAAGACCCCCGGCTTGTGAAAAGTGTGTGAAAAGAAAGGGTAAAGCTTGCTCAAAAGATTTGCGGAGAAGGAGCATAAGAACTTGAAAATACGAAAGGCAGTGCTAAAAATTGGAAATGAGTTAGAAGTAAGCAACAACAATCAAAACAGACAGACAGAAGCAGATACAGGAAAACATAACCAAGGTAAAAATTTGAATTACAAAGTAGCAAGGTTAAAATGAAGAAAGCACTTTGAATGGAAGGTCAAGGAGCCGAGCCATAGAAACGGTCTTTACAAAATGCAAATGGAAGGCTGTGTATTTGGAGTTCGCTCCCGAAACCTCATAAAGACGACAGGCCTTGGTGCACCCTTGCCTCTCTCCTTTTACCAACATGACAATAATCGACTCATCTAACATCATGTCTCTAGACTCATATGTATCTGGCTTAAGCATAAAGATTTTTTGGATCATTAGGTATATACCACAGGAATAGTTATCATATTATTCAGTATTTGTTCAACCAGGAGATCAGATAATCTACTGCAAGAATCTTAACTGAAACTTGAAGGCATTGAGGAAGTATTTGGATATAGCTATTAATTCAGCAATGACTATCACTCCCTCCACCATAGATGTAAACAATACCATCTTAGCATATCCCATATCAGATGCAACGTTTTTTTGGGAAAAAAAAACTGAAAATTAGATACATTCACACACACCCATAAACTCTATTCCTATCATATTGCTTACGTGATTGGATGTACATCGACCACCACAATTTCTTTATATTCAATTTTTGAACGGTCCCCACTATTGCTTACGTGATGAGAAATAGGTGATGCAAAATGATTTGTTGCATCTACTGTGGCACAGAAGGAGGGGAAATAAGAATCACAAAGTCTTCATAATTAATATGAAACTAAGAACCACTCGACAATGAGAAAGAGGAGAGTGGAGAGAGGAACAGGGGGACAAAGGAAGGAAGCACATGATACCTGGAAAAGTAAAACAGAAAATGTGGCTCGTCCATGACGTGATGTGCTCTCTCCTCGCTCCTGCAACACCTGCACAATAGAAAATTCGTATAAACTTAATTGTCAACCAGAATTCATATTAGAGATTGATAGGTGTACTAAGAAACAAAAGAACACGTTGTTTAGAGGAAAAATATGAAGGTGAAAGGGTGTAATGGTAGTTTAGTATGTAAAGAAGCATCTCAATCATCCTAGTTTGCAAGGAACCTAGTTTAGGGGCCATTCTTTTGAGAAGAATGCAATTTATTGAGTTCCAACTCCAAAACTACACAGTAGACTTGATTTTTAGCAGTATCTTTGTAACATCTACAATAAAGATATTACATCTCCTATTCTCCTTCCTGTCATAGATGACCCTTGTACCTGCACTTCCGACTGCTTTCTAAAGAGCAACTGCATGCATAAGCTTTAGACTCGAGGAAACAAGAACCATGTAGAGTACATAGCGAAACTGAGGACTGTTGCCAGTATTATAACGACACAAGATTAACTTTTCTGTGTTAAGGGGCATGTCAGTAAAAACACTAAACAGGCATTGATTGAATGGCACAGTTTCATCTAGTGCAATTATACGACAAGAAAATAATACTCCCTCCATCTAAAAAAAAGTGTCCAAATTTCAATTTAGTTTGTCCAAAATAACTAGGGCAAATTACATGAAAAAATAACGTACTTTAACTTGATTTCTATTTTGGGTAACGTACTTTCAAAACTTCTATTTTGGTACCTAAGATGTAAAGTTTTAAACATTTAAGTATCCGGGTAACTGGTTGAAGTATTAACCGATTATCATGCTGATGTAGCGAGTGATGTGGTATCCAACTCGGTATTATTTGCTGACGTGGTCAGTGACGTGGATTTTTTAAAATCTAAAAATTAGTCTTTTTTTAGTCTAAAATTAGTCTTTTCGGGTTACCCGAGTACTTAAATGTTTAAACTTTATATCTTAGGTATCAAAATGGAAGTTTTGAAAGTACGTTACCCAAAATAAGAATCAAGTTAAAATACGTTACTTTTTCATGCAATTTGTCCAAATAACTACTGTTAACTTTTCAATTCTATCCTTAATTAAGAGAAAGAGAAATTCTTTTACTCCTTTATCATCAAGGGTAAAATTGTCATGTAGTTAAATAAAAAGTATAATAATTACACTTTTAAAATCATGTGCCTTTTTTATTATATTTATTTTGGGACGTAGGGAGTATCAAATACAACTTGGGTACCCATTTTTGCTATTGACCGTTACCTGCAGGACAACCGCCGTAGAAGATAATGCCAAACCATTACCTATGACAATTGCAGCAGGTCCCAGCTGTCCACAGACAGAATGGGCAACTAAGCCTACCACAACAGCTGTCACCAGCACCTGCATCACCAACAAAGGTTTAAATATAAGGTAGTACAGCACAAAATGCATAATGCAGGCTCCCAAATATCTGCAGTTACCTGAGCAGAACCCAATCCAAAAACATATTTCTTCATGGAACTCAGCCTTTCAACAGAAAGCTGTAAGACAATAAACAATTTTCAACTCCTTTCTGATTTAAATGTAATACATAAAGAAAATCTTAAGACTTTTTTATTCCAACCTCAAGGCCAATATTAAAAAGCAGGAAAACAACTCCAAATTCGGCTATTGCTTTTGTCGCATGGACATTACGTATAATTGAGAGACCATAAGGTCCAATCAAGATGCCAGCAGTCAGATACCCAAGAACAGGACTTCCTAAAATATGCAACCAAAATGGAAGACAATCATTAGTGATACAGACAAAATACTACACATATCCACCTGGGAAGAGGAGTGACTGAGTAATATACTAGTGGATGACTGTAATTAACAAGATTTGGATGTCAAACACTAATTAACAAGATTTGGATGTCAAAGCATGTACCCGTAAGCTCTCATGAGACCAGCCACTTTTCGTGAGACCTTGAGACACACTGTGAAGGTTTAGATACACATTGTGAAGGTTTCGTGTGTTTTTCCAATGAATATTCGATGTGTTTTTCATGTGAAGGTTTGGTTTTGTTCACGTGAAGGTTCGGTTTTTTACATGTGAAGATTTGGTCCAGTGAAGGTTCAGTGTTTTGTTGAGACGGTTTGGTTTTTGCTTTGAAGGTCCAGTGTTTTGCTCTGAAGGTTTGATGAGATAAAAATAACTCATCCAAGGGTTCATAATGTGTCTCATGGATCTCATGAAAACTGTCATGTCTAACATGATTCCAAATCTCTGTCCATAATGGTAGTTGGATTATCTAGATTCAAGTACCTCCAGGAAGTTTCTGAAATATAGGCACAAAGATTACACTGCCAAGCAACAACCACAGCACATCAAATAGAGAAGCTTCTTCCTCGTTAATCTGCATATGTAAACACACAATCAGAAACAAGATATTACTTAGAGACCACTGCAGATAAAATACAAGGCGATCAACAAACAATGTACCTCTTGGTGAGGAAGCATCTCAATTAGCTTTTTAACTCTATCAGGTAAATTCTTTATCTGTCTTACCAAGGGCTCAACTTTTGACGAGACTTCATTGATATTGGTGGCGATAATGTCTGTCTGCTGATCGATACTGGTGGTGATAATGTCTGGCTGCCGAAATAGTTGAAAAATCCGCTCTTCTCGCTTAGTATAGAAAGCAAAACTGTCATATGCATATGACCATCAATGATTAGAGGAAACAACTGTAGCAACCCATCCCATGTGAATGGAAAAATAAGATTTTTGAGCTTCTTTTAAGTTCAAAGTTGTGGGTTACCAATAACTTCCACTATGGTTTTAAGTTGATTTGGAGGTTATTGGGCCAGTTTGCTGCTTTGGATACAGGGTGTTACAAATGGTCTCAGAGCTGATCTTTGTACCTCATGGAGCATGATGAGTCCCTTGGGGGGGGGGGGGAATGTTCGTGACATCTAGGCGAATCCCACATCGTCGATGAACAAGGAGGAGATGGGATGGCCTCACGAGGACATCCGAAATTTAAGAGGGGAGTTTGTAACAACCCGTCCCATATGGATAAAAAATTGGATTTATGAGCTCCTTATAAGTTCACAATTGTGGGCTACCAATGACTTCCACTATGGTTTTAAGTTGATTTGGGGTTATTGGGCTAATATGTTGCTCTGGGCTGGGGCCTTAGAACAACCATACTACCAATATTCTACAAGCAAGTAGGTGAGATGTTTTCTACAACCAGAACTTAGAATCTTATTTAGATAAGCCAACAGTGTTCAATAACCATTCTCCTTTTTCCATTTGTTACTATAAATAAGTGAAGCAGAAAAATTTCATACCTTGCGCCAACAAGCAAAACCCCAACTACCAGATTAGGTAAATGCTTTTTTGCCGATTCGCTAAGCCCCTGAAAAACTGTAACTGGTGTAAACTCAGTACCATCTCCGGCAAAGGAGAAAAATGATGCCGAAAAGAAACGAGATGATTTATTTAGTAATGCTTTAGGAGAACTCAATGGCTGGCTATCCTTTGTGAAATCCTTCTGTGTTTCTGGCTTCTTTGTTTGAACCTCATTCTTTATCTTTTCTGCATCATCTTCAGTGTCTTTGGATGTTTGTCCATGCTCTTGGTCGCTATCATCAGAAAATCTAGACTCTTCAGACATTTCTCCTAGAAAATCTAGCTCGCCATCTTGTATGGGATCGCTCAAAGGATCCTCAGTTTTCGCATCACTGTCTCCATCAACAATGACTTCAACTGAATTTCTTTCAATTCCCTTTTCGTTGCCAAGTGTCTCCCCATCTGAAGATGACGAACTTTGGGACATTGTACTTTCAGAGCTATCCACAAGTGAGTTGGCAAGAAATTTCTCAGCTTTTTTCAATGCAATCTCAGCATCATTAACACGTTTTGTAGCCTCAAGTTCAAAAGCAACAGCTTCCTCAGCTAAAAGCATTATGTTCGCCACATCTTCATCAGCTTTCAAAGCATCTGATTGTGCTTTCTCTGCAAGTTCATTCAGCCTAACAACTTCTCTTTGCAACTCATCTTTTCTGTTCTGCAACCGAATCAATGCTCTCTCACAATTTTCCAAATTCACCCGACATTCCTTCATATCCTTCTGAGCAGCTAAGAGAGTTTCCTCCTCTGTCGCTATATTCAAATTTTCATCTTCATCTACATAGTAATCTTTCAAGCTTCCCAACATAGCACTTTTCTCTTTTGCAACTTCTAATGAGTCAAGAGCCACCTGATGCCTAGCCTCCGCCAAAGAAAGGGCCATTTTTGCTCTCTGAATAGCTTCTTTAGTGGGATCCTCTTCTTTCACAATCTCTTCAATAGAAAGCAACGCCAAGTTGACATTATCCCATGCATTCAAAGCTTCATCCTTTAGCGCTATTGCTGATTCTGATATTCTCTGAGCCTTATCCTCAAACATGGTACTATTGAGCTGGGCTATCTCCAATTCTTTACGTGCCTTCTGTAATAACTCCTTTAATTCTTCCAAAGTAGGGAACTCCGCTTCCGTTTCTTCTCCCTTATCCCTTGAATCATTCTTTTTCTCTGGACTGTAACTAGTTTCTTCTTTTGAATTCTCTCCATTTTTAGTCTCAACAAATTCTACATCCCTTCCATTCCCATTTACGAAAGCAACTGAATCATTCCCCTGGCAAGCTGTTTTAAGATTTCCCCTTGATGTCTTAAGTATACAAATTGAATACCTTGACCTGCTAGAACTCCTCAAACAACTATCCAGTTCACCTTTAGCAATTTTACTTGAATTATAACCATGACTACTAGAAGTAATCAATTTCTTTCTGGAGCCAACTTTTGATGCAAACCTTGGAGTGCCAGGAAAATTACAACCAAAACTTGATTGCAAGTTCAGCTGCTCTAATGTTCCACAACTAGTACCTTGACAACCACGAACCTGGAAACTACATGAAAAGTTCATATCTCCCCTCGCTTTCTCGATTTCTAACTACCAAGGCTCATAAAAGGAACTCTCATCAGGCTGTAATATCAAACGCCTGCAAATATAAGTATACAATCAAACTCAATTATGCAATGCTAACTTTAAACCAAATGGCTTCAATTACCGTGACTGAAGCCTATATTACACTACTACTTCAAAGTTCAAAATTAAAAACAAATGCATGCATACACCACAATCAGTTTGTGCATATAACTAAATGTAAAACTTTCAATTTGGGCAAATTGCACAAATTTCAGTAACCAGAAATCTAATTTCTGATCAGCTGGCTGCCAATTTTGGGCAAATTGCATAAAATGGCTACTTACTTTTTTATTTAGAGGAAATAGCAACCTACTTCCTTATGTTGACTAAAAATAGAAGAAACTGGAAGTTAGTTGCTACTTTTCATGAAAAAAAAGGTTAATTCCCTAAGTTGGAATTCAGAAAAGTAAGCTGTTATTATACGCAATTTGCCTATCAATTTTCATCAAAATTGTTCACAACGAAGATGAACAAATTTCAGTGATCTGAAGTCAAGTTCTTAAAATTAGACCTATTATTTACTAAATATACCCTCAATGCCAATTAAGAAATCAACTTCTAAAACGTACACAAGTTTCCATCATACCAAATAATCCAGACATGAATCTCCAATAACTGATGTGTGTATGGTTCTAGAATCAAATTTCAATGTATGAAATGGAATTTCCAATCAGTCGACTTCAATGTTGGTTAAATGTAACGTGGAAACATTACAGCAATCAATTACTCGAACTTAACCATAACTATACATGTCCTATTAATAGAATCTCACTCGTATAAAGTTTAAATTTAATTATTGGACTTGTTATTTACTCAATGTATCATAAATGTCAATTAAGTTCACTATAAGAGATCAATTCTAAAACCTACACAACACACATGAATCTGCCCTATTGATAAGCATGTTGTTCTAAAATCAAGTTGAATAATCTGAAGCAGAACTTCTGATCGCTTCACTTTAATGTTTGTCAAAGTATACCCGTAAACATTACGACAATCAAGTACTCAAACTTAAACACAAGTATACATGCCATGTTAACAAAACATAATCATCTCAAGTCAAATTACTAAATTCGCCTTAAATTTTGTTAAACGTACCCTCAATGTCAATTGAGTTTACAAGAAGAAATCAATTTCTAAAATCTACGAAGTATTCATCATATATACGACATGGAATTAGCTAGAAACACATGAATCCGCAGGAATTGATGTGTCTCCAGTTCTAAAATCAAGTTCCAATCATCTAAAACCAAATTTCTGATCAGTTTATGTCAATGTTCATCAAAATGCGCCTTAGAAACATTAGAAACATTATAACAATCAGGTAGTCAAACCGAAGGTTGAGTACTTCATTGTTGTAGTGCTCCCAGGGTGTCTTATGATTAATAATATGTATACATGTCCCAGTAATAACATTTCAGTCATCTAAAGTCTTTCTCATAATTGGACTCAACATCTACCAAATGTAGCCTCAATGTTAATTAGGTTTACCATAAGAATTCAATTACTAAAACCTTCATGAGTATCCATTGTACATGCTAATTTAAATTAGTCAGAAACACATGAAAAGTATTGATACACATAGGGTCCTAAATCGAATTTCAATCATCTAGAACTTTTCTGATGAGTGGACTTAGATGTTCAACATGTGACCTGTAAACATTTAAAACAATCAATGCAAGCTAGTATAAGCAGATGCAGATGAATCTAGAGACATTGATGTGTGTGCAGTTCTAATATCAAATCCAAATCATCATAAATCAAATTTCTTATCAGCTGACTTCAATGTTTGTCAAATGCCTAGAAGCAGTACAACAATCAATTACTCAAACTTAACCATAACTAGAAATGTCCTGATAATAAAATTTCAACAAGTTAAAGGATAATTCTCATAGTTATACTTCAATACCTACTAAATGTAGCCCCAATGTCAATTAAGTTTACTATAAGATAACAATTTCTAGAACCTACACAAATATTCATCATATACGTTATTCCAAAATAGGCCACACAAATTCTCAAATCAAACTTCGATAATTTAAAATCAATTCCTGATGAGTCAACTTTAATGTTCGTCAAAATTTACCCTAGAAACATTACAACAATCAATTATTCAAACTTAACTGTATCTATACACATCGTAGTAGTATAATTTCAATCATCTAACGTCTAATTCTCGTAACTAGACTTCAATATCTACTAAATGTAAACATTTTCACTACAACTACTCATAATTAGTCAAATTCTAAAACCTACGCAAATATCCATCATACTTGCAACTCCAAATTATCCAAACACACATGAATCTGCGCATATTGATGCGCATCAGATTCCAAATCAAATTTCAATCATCTGAACTCCAATTTCCAACCATTCGACTTCCAATATTCATCAAAATGTACCCTAAAAACATTACAACAACAAATTACTCAAAATTTAATCCAAATTACACATGCTACCTCAAAAGAAACACACATATCCAGTTATCCACAAACACGCATGCACAAACACATATGTGTGCACATCTACGTGTTGTTACATGTGTATGAGTGTCTGTTGATGAAGTGACAGAGAGTAAAACTTACCTGATTGATCGTGACAGATGAGGAGTGGAATCTGAAGGTCGAAGAACAATCAATGGCGGATTATTTAAAGGAAAAATTAGGTTAGAAATGGAAGAGGACGAACGGTTGATGACGTAAGAGCGAGAGAGTGTCAGTTACCAGAGTTTGTTGCTTGTCTGAAACAAAGAGAGATGAATGATTGACAGTTGTGATATTTATAGAAACCAGAAATTTGTTGATTGGGCGATGAATTGATGAAGAAAATGGAAAGGAAAATGTTTGGTTGGTTGTGAAGGGAGTCAAGGAAGTGAATGTACTAAAATGCCCCTAGAATGGTCTCTATAAGGGGTAGTTATGTAATTTAACCATTTGAAAATAACTACATATAAAATGTTATTAAAAAATACAACTTGGTTATTGATTATAAAACAAATATACATAAAAAAAATTTCAAACGATGACACCATTTGACTAAAAAAATGATACTAACAAGATTCGAACTTGAGTAAAAGCCTTACAAATCAATTCTATCAAATAAAATTTGTTCTCATTGTAGTTTCAAAATACATATGATGACACATAACAAATTAATACGGTTGCACATTTTATGAACCTAATTTTTTTTACCCTTCGACAGAGGAATAATACGATGGCACGTGCCACCGTATGCACCACTATAGGTTCGTCTTTGTGTGTTACGAATATTCAACATTTTTTGCTATAGAAATCTGATGTTTTGTTGTGAAGGTTTGATCAGATAAAAAAACTCATCTAAAGACCAAAAATTGGTCTTACCGATCTCAAAAAACTGGTTTTTCTCATATATCTAATTCCTTTGATTATTAGTCAAATATTTGTGATAGCAACACAATAACAAATAACTGTAGATAACAATTAAATACCTCAAGAATGGAATTTTCGGTTCTTTGTAAAAAGGGGTAGTTATAGAATTTTAACCATGTCAGTTTACTTAAAGAGAGGAGATTTTTTTATTAATTTGGATATCCAATCTGCTATGTGAACCGATTAATATCAGGACGACCACTTGCTTTACAGGTAGTCCGGAGTCACCGTATTTGAACATCCGTGGCCACAAAAAGATTTTTATTCCTCCTTGGATTTAAACACGGGACCTCTAGACACTTTAGACCTTTGGAGCCCAAGCTCAAAACAATCAAGTACCACCCTTGTGGTTAGGAAAAGAGATTTCTCGGTCTAAAAATAAGATATTTAACTGTTAATAAAATATTTAAAAATTCATTTAACAAGTCCAAAAATACAAAATTTGTCGAGACCTCTTTGCAACTCATGAGCATTACACGTATCTTACAGGTGGAAAAAATTTGTACGTATAAAAAAAAATCAAAGAACATAATCAATATAGATAAAATGGACTACAATCACTTATATACGGTTCGATTATCGGTTTAAAAAACAATCTAAATAATTTTTATCTGATATAATACGTTTTTATACTCCAAAAATGTATATATTTTTATAAATTTGTATTTGAATGATCAAAAATAAATTATTAACAGAGTACACTGCAAAATTTGGTCCGTATGGTTTGTCATAAATAACACTTTTCGTCCTTATAGTTTAAAAATTACAAGATGACCATCGTAGTTTGCAAAATCATTCAGATTGGTCCTTTTTCATAACAACCGTTAAAAATTTCATTAATTGAGGGGTATTTTTGTTCTTTTATTGATTTTTTTTGTCTTTTATCCAATCAAAATCAGTTTTATGATTTTGGTCTCTGTAGTCTTTAATTGGGTAATAGACAAAAAAATCAATAAAAAACGAAAATGTCCTTCATTTAACATAATTTTAACGGTCATTAAAGAGGAATCCAATTTGGACATTTTTGGAAATCATGATAACAATCTTGTAATTTTGAAACTATAAGGACGAAAAGTGTTATTTTTGACAAACCACAATGACCCAATTTCTAGTTTACTGTCATTAAATATCAATAATAGAATGAGGCCTTGTTTGTTTTTCATATAAAAACTCTTATCAACCCCTTATGTCTGATTTGTAAAGAGTCAATGTCATTCAGACTGTTAGTTTTTTCCAATGGTACTTATGTCTTATTTTCTTCCTCTTATCTAATAAGAGGTAAACTAACCTTTTATTTGTCTCTTATTGTTCTTCAAATCATTAACAACAGTGTTTCTCAATCGATTAACCTTAATCGATCATTTCTTTCAATCGATCATTACCAAATCAATCCTTACCTCTCTCAATTAATGTATTTTAATAGGATGTAAATGTGTTAAACATTGTTAATGACATATTTTCGTTTAAATGAATGTTAATTATATGATTTAGATGTAAGTTTCATAATGATGATGAATAAATATGTGAAATTGTATTAATTTATTTATAAATTCAACACTATAATTTTTAATAGGTAAAATATACAATTTAAACAAATTCAGACGTTTATCAGTCTACAAAAAACAAACAGTCTTGTTGATTCGGATTTTAGACTTCAACACCAACTCTTATAAATCAGAAGTAAAATAAGACTTCAAACTTCAACACCTCTTAAAAAAAACATCATCCGATTCTTTAGACATATATTTATGTCATCGTCACCATAGAGGTCACATTAGAATTGGCGTACAAGTATCCATAACAAGCAACTAAAAACCGGAAAAAGACATTATTTTCCATAAGTAAATTTACATATTTGACCTTGTAGTTGTTTTAATTTTGCAATTAAGTACTTAAAAAGTGTTATTGTTCAATATCATCATTTTCTTAACTACAAGGGTTGTGGCGTAGTAGTTGAGGTCCTCTGAGGGATATGGTAGAATATTCCATCTGCACATGATTTATTTTAGGCGTACACAATAATTGTGGCTATTAAATTTATCAGAATTGATTTCTTGCAGTCACAATTTACCGGGATTAGTCTAGCCATAGTCTGAGACACCACTAAAAAACAATTTCTTTTCAAAAAATTGTATTTATAACTAAGTTTTGGTGGCATTCATTTGAAAACCTATAAAATTGCGATAACTTTGAGACCCGGTGTATCATGTATTATTTTACATGATCGTTTTCCATCTGCGACTTGGATTTAGTGTATTGATTAACATATATTTGTTTTATAATGTGTTTGTTTCAAATATATTTGTTTCACAATGTGAGCATTTTTAAGTGTTTATGAAAAAAATACAATTAAAAACTTTCACATAATGAAACGAATACATATGAAACAAACACATTGTGAAACAAATACATATTAATCAATATATTAAATTCTAGCTTTCGGTGTAAGAAATCGTATGAAACAATATCTTATGATAATAGTTATCACAGTTCATTGTTGTTTTCAAATTTTCATGAATACGTAAAGTAATTTGATGATAAAAAAATTTGATAGTAAAAAGACAAAGACTTATAAGTAATTTGATGATAAAAAAATACAGATTAATATATATATACTATATTATTAAAACATTTAATAAAAACTCTTAAAAACCATTTTTTATGCACGAAGTATTGTTTATCGATGCATATTACTTAAAATTCAAGATTACAAGTAAATTTTACATAAGTACAACTTATTAAAACTTCATGTTTGAATTCATGCAACTAACTGCAGATAAATATAATTTTAGAGGATAAACATCTCATTTTAATTATAAAATATCTAAAAAAATAATTAGTATAATTATTTAGTTCTAACAAAATATTTAATTATTATCTTAAAAAATATTTTATTAAATCAAAAATAAATTAATTCGTTTTTAAATTTCAATTAAATTATAATAAAAAATAAAATTAAAGAAATTACATAAAAATAAAAAATTTTAGATAGTTAATTTGATACTAATATCGCTTATTTTTTTCAACATTTTATAATATCTTCAAATTTATATTTCATTCAAAAATAAAAACATTTTCTTTATCTCAAAACCACATAAAATCGCATTATAATATCGATAGACCCAAAATATAAAACGAAAGATTAGAATAAAAATATAAATCGTTGCATTGCACGAGTAGCCTTCTAGTATATATATAAAAAGTATTGTATTGACCATCCTGAATCACATGTGAATTTTAGTTCAATCAAATGATGTAGAGATCCTCATATTCTCTTATTTTAGTTATGTTGTCATTTAAATCAAACACATATATTTTTTCTCTCTCTCTCTCTATATATATATAAGGTTGGGTTCATGTGAGAGAAAACAGTTTTCGTTAGACATAATTTTTACACTTAAAATTTCACAACAAAATATTGTGAAGATAAAAAAAAAAAGTTGAATCTTTACAACAAAAACACTGTGAAAATTACCATCACAGTGTTTTACTGTGAAGTTTCAAGTGTAAAAATCGTGTCTCACGAAAACATCATTGTCTCACATGATCCCAAGTCTATATATATATATATATATATATATATATATATAGGGGCCTAATCAAATAAGAACTAATTAGTTTGTAGTAACTGTGAGAACCAATATTAACCACAAATCAATAGATAAATTAGAAAATTTATAATTTTGTCAATTTTGAATTAAAATTTTAATGCAAGGATATTTTTGGTATTTTACAACTTTCCTCCCTCCTCTCTTCTCTCTCCGGCCACCGT